AACAGCTACAGTCAAGGTAGAGCTCACCCTTCCGCTCCACCCACACCCCGGCCCCGACCGCTCGGGAGCTGTCCATAAATTATGGAGGGTTTCTAGGCAGGGGATGGCCAGCCAGACTGCTATGGTATATCTGCGCCCTCTCTCTCTTTCTCGCTCGCTCTCCCCCGCTCTCTTCGCATCCCTCCACCTCCTGGACGGGGTGCGTTCCACTCCGGCCAGACTCCGTGCCTCCGTGCCGTACGGTCGAGGATGACCTTCGCGTCTTTTTTCTGTCCCGCCCCAGGGAGAGCGACCTGCAGTTCGACCCCAACATGGACGGGCTGCTGCTGCGGCTGGCGCGCGTCGTGGCGGAGCAGTACCTGGGCGTGATGGTGACCCCCGTGCCGGACACGCGGGCCGTCAGCGAGGCGCTCGCCAACTACGTGGCCTCCGAGACGGTGCGCGCGCTGCGGCCGCGCGAGACGGCCGAGGGCAGCGAGCGCGCGCAGCTGCACCGCGGCCACGCCGGCCACCAGGGCCACCAGGGCCACGACGGCCACGGCGACCACCAGCACCAGCACGGCGCCACCACGCCCGCGCCCGCCACCACCGCGGCGGCGACCAGCGCCGCCCCGGCCACCGGCACGACCGCCCCCGCCGCCAAGGGCAACAACACCTGCCGCTGCCGCCAGTACGAGGTAAGGCAGCGCAACACCGAGGGCTTCCACACCTGTTTTTTTTCTGATTTTGTTTACTGATGTACCCCTTTCAGACCCTATCCACCTCCCCCTGAGACAGCTTTGAGCTTGTAAAAAAAAAACCTTTCTAAGCTAACTGAGCGCTCCCTTGTGTTCCTCGCGGACAGTCGGACAAGTCGGACCTGCTCGTGAACGCGCTCTACTCGGTGTACTACGAGCTGGGCTCCCAGTTCCCCCTGACGGGACTGACGAGCGCGCAGCGGCCCGCCCTCCAAGGCATCAAAAGTAAGTTGTGAGAATGCGCCCCCAACCCCGCCCCGCCCCAATGAAATGAAATTAAATGAAATGAACATTCCTAACCTCCAAATTCGCCCCAGCCGAGCTCATCGTGCGCATGCTGGCCATCACGCTGGGCGAGAGGACGTTCAAGGCGGCGCTCAAGGGACTCCTGGACGAAAAGTAAGAGAAGCGCACGCCAAAACTTTATTCGCGAATCCTTATTTTCGCGCTCCGAGCCGATATCGTCGCGTCGGCCCCCGTCAGACAAGCGGACGCGGGAACCTTCGCCAGCTTTAACTCCATTCCTCAACTCGTAAAAAGAAGTTTGCGAGACGGCGACTCTGATGAAACCATAACAGCAGTTCGCTGTTATAAAGAAAAGGACGGGACACTTTTGATTTATACTTGGGGGGGGGGGGTCGAGCCGCTTTTCATCACGTAAAGTATATGGTCTGTACGACACGACGTTTTGTCTCAGTGTTGTTGGCCGATATGCACCACCGCATCCGCACAAGCTTCGAGTCGGTTTTCGGACCGTTTAGCACTTGATTTCTGCATGGATAGCCGTTTCCAGCACTGACGGCTAGGTAGGCAACACATTTACATCGGATACGCATGTGTGCAGTGGGCTGCATCTACGCCCGCCTACCAGGCAACTCCTTGGTGAGCGTGTGTAAATGTTGCCTAGTGGACAGACGCCGATGCAGCAGCACCGCTCCACAGGCGTACTTGCGGGGAATTTGTCGGCCACCTAGTTGGCAACCACTGTACCGAGAAACTTTCAAGTCATTTAACGTCATTTTGACGTCATTTTGACGTTGAAATGTGCTCGTTTCTTCGTCACTCACGCCCGCGCTTGCCGCTGCCCCAGGAAGGACGGGTTCTTCTCGTCCAGCGACCTGTGGAAGCTGCTCACGCAGCACGCCTACGCCGCCGAGTCGCTGCAGGCGCCGCTCGACGTGGAGGCCATCGTGGCCTCGTGGGTGGACAAGGACCGCTTCCCGCTGCTCAGCGTGAGCCGCGACGACCACGACAACAGCGCCAAGCTGCAGCAGGTGCGGGCCGGCAACGGCAGACCGGCAGGAGGCTATGCGCATATAAGGGGTCGTTCCCTTTAAACGTTGCTTCCAGGGGGTACAAATACTATGAGGTCAGAAAAGGATCAGGAGTCCTTATAGTCCTTAAAGTGGTATTCATACCACCTAAAGCTCACGGCGCATAGAGGAACTACCACTTACGTGTCTTCTTTAGGGGCGGAGTGCTTTTTTCACTGCACTTAACCTAGGGCTGTGAAAAAAGTGTTTCCTAATCCACCCCTAACAGCCTCAGAGTTTAGTGCATGTAGCCCGCAATGGGCACTAGCCATAAAACTGTTGACAACTAAATGTCGGTAACTTTGGCCTGTTCCCCGGACCGCAGAGCGTGTTCCGGCGTCGCAACTACACGCCCGAGGAGCGCGACCTGGACAAGGAGAACGCCATGGTGTGGAACATCCCGATCGTGACGCTGACGGAGGGCCAGGCCTTCACGCGGCAGGAGCACCAGCCGCGCCTGTGGATGAGCTCGCGCTCGGCGCTGCTGGAGAACGCGTCGCTGGGCGACAGCTACCTGGTCGTCAACCCGGAGGAGGCGGCGCCGTGCATCGTCAACTACGACAAGCGCAACTGGGAGCTGCTGTCCAACGCGCTCAACGACCGCAAGTCGCCCGAGCTGCCGCCGCGCACGCGCGCCAAGCTCCTCCACGACGCCGTGATGCTGGCGCACGCCGGCGCGCTGCCCTTCGGCGACGCGCTCCCCTTGCTCCGCTCGCTGCAGGGCGAGACCTCCCCGGCCGTCTGGCTGCCCGTCGGCAACGTGCTCGACCACGTGCGCCGCGACGTGGAGGGCACGCGCCTCGAAGACCGCTTCACGGTGAGTAAGACTTGGGAATTTAAAAATCCGAAAAAAAATTACAGAAAATTTCGAAACTTCTCCAGAAAAATTCGGAAAAAAATTTAAATGTTTCCAGGAAATAACTAAAAAGTTTAACTTTCATGAAAAAATTAAGCGACGAAACAGAAAAATTTCCTTGAGATATTTTTGCAGATTATTAAAATTCGTAAATGCTTGTTCCTGCAGACCTTCCTGGAGAGCATCCTGCGCGGCGCGCTGCGCAACGTCAACGACCGGCTGGCGGCGCCGGGGCTGTGCGACTGCAAGTCCCGGCAGCTGTTCGAGACGCGCGCCCTCATCCTGCAGCAGCTCGCGCGCGCCGACATGCAGCCCTGCATCAAGGAGGCCAGGGCGGCCTACGAGTCCTGGGCGGCGTCCGCCACGCCGGACGAGGGCAAGCCGTGAGTCGCGACGGAGGCGGGAATCTTCAAATAAAATGAAAATTAGCTGAAATTTT